GCTTTCATTAAAATCTCAATAAAAAATATCTAGTGGAGTTCTGTGCTATTGAGTTGGCAGCAACTCATAGCTGATCCTCCTTGAGTAGGTTTTCAGAGGCTGTAAATTACACAAGCATCTGTCCATCTTTCTCCTGTGGAGCACCTGGTAGATTGAAACCACGTGTTGGCAGCATAACTCCTTACCACTAGGCCACCAGAGCTCCCTTAGATCAAGTAACAAATAGTAAAAACTAGGGTCAACTATTTAGAAAATGATGCATCAGAAATTAAGTTTAAAATGCCTTTAAGAATGCAAGCTAAAAAAAAAAGAATGCAAGCTATCCATCAACAAACAAATGGATAGAGAAACTGTGGTATATTCACACAATGGAATATTATGCAGCACTGAAAAACAAGGAACTCATGAAATCTTATATAAAATGGGCAACCCTGTAGGACATTATGTTGAGTGCAATATCTCAATCACAAAAGGACAAATACTGCATAATGGCACTGTTATAAAACAGGACTGATACCAGGTTTGAGGGGAAACTAAGAAAAGACGGATAAATTATGTACACTGCATTGAAACAGATGAGGGAGGGAACTGTTTGAAAGGGATATATGATTAGGCTTTATTTGCATGGCAGGAGTCCAGAATAAGAGCTGCATAGTAAAGTGGACTGGGGGCGTGGGAATTATATAACAATGAAAGAACTTTTTTTTTTCTTCTCAAAGAGGAAAGCAAACTGGGGGGGGGGGGCGGATTGTGGGCATGGCGGGAAAATGTGCCACAATGAATGGAAGTCCAAGTTCTCTATAATCTTTCATTAAAATCTCAATTAAAAAAAGAATGTAACAATGAGTTTTTCTTTTCAAGAAGAGTGAATTGGGGAGGAGAGAGTGGGTAGGGAGAAAAGTGCAACAATGAATGACTAGAAGCCCTAAGTCTCTGTAAACGTTCATTAAAATTAATAAGAAAAAAAAAGAATACAAGCTATGAGCACATGTCCACACAAAACTTGTATATAAATGTCCATAGTAAGTTGCATGTTCTACACCGCGTTCACTGGCTTCAGTGACGGAAGGAGAGCCCTTGGTTGTGCGGTGTTTAAGTGCTCAGCTTCTAACCTAAAGGGGTCAATAGGAGAAAGCAATGGCCACCTGCTGCTGTGAAGACAACGGCCCACAGGGGGTCCTATGGGGTCACTCTGAGGTGGCACTGATTTGGTGGCTGTAGATTTGGTATGACAGGGCTTACTTAAGAGGAGTGTAGGGGCACAATGGTTAAGCACTTGATTGCCAAGCAACCCGGTGGCTTTGCAGAAGAAAGATCTGGCAATCTGCTGTCAGAGATTACAACCTAGAAAAACCCAATGAGTGGTTTTACTCTGTCCATGGCTTCTCTGTCAGTTAAAATCAACTCACATACAACAACTCCCTCAGGCCCAAGCTACAACAAAAAAGAAGATGCAAATGATCAAAGGTGTTGAACGCTTCTGAGAGATCAGGCAGATTCAAGCAGACTGTGACTGACAATGGCTCGTTGAGCTTTGTTGTTGCTGATTGCCTTCAAGTCAAGCATGACTCATAGAGACCCTATGCACAAAAGGCCTGAAGCCCCTCTGCAACTATCGACATTTATCAAAGTTCATAGTTTCTGGAGTCATGTTTTTAGGAAGTGGATGCCACTCCTGTTTCCAAACCTGCCATAGTATGTTATTGTTGTTATGTGTCATTGAGTCGCCTGAGATGTACAGTGACACTATGTACAGCAGCTCTGAATCCTTCCCTGTCCTGAGCCAGTCTCACTAATTCCAACACACCAACACCCATTGCCCCAGTTACTATATCAATCCATTTCTTCCGGGGTCTTCCTCTCTTGTGCTTCCCTCCACCCTTCCAAGCATGATGTCCTTCAGGTACTGATCTCTCCTGTTCACGTGTCCAAAGTAAGCGAGGCAGAGCTTCAAAATCCTAGCCTCCAAGGAAAGACTTGGTTTCACCCTCTCCAAGACAGACCTATTTGTTTTCTTGGCAGTTCATGATATGTTCAAGGCACTTTAGCAGCATGGAAATGGAAATAACTGTTGCACTTGTCACTCTAATGAAATGCCTGTAAGATTTATTCAAGAAACCCTTAAGTTGTGTCTTAACATCACTTAAGAATATATCAGATAGGGCGAGCTCTGGTGGCCTAGTGGTAAGAAGCTGCACTGCAATCCCAGAGGTACATGGTTCAAACCCACCAGATGCTCTGCTGAAGGAGGAACAATCGCCTCCAGTGCCACTCAGATCTGATTTGACGGTACACACACACACACACACACACACACACAAGACTATATCAGATAGAAGAAAGGAAAAAAAGAATATATCAGATAGCTGTGTACCATCGAGTTGGATTTGACCCCTCCAGCGGGTTTCCAGAGGCAGTTAATTGCACAGGAGGAGACTGCCCACATTCAGAGCAGCTGGCACATTCTAATTGCATGCCTTTGGGGTTGCAGGGCAGATTCTTATCTCTAGGCCACCAGTGTTCAACTATCAGACAGTGGCACCTGAGAAGTCAACTGTGATAGGAGGAAGTTAGCCTCTTGACTATCTTATCTCTGAAATTACAAGAGGTATAGCAGCAGCACTAGGGCCCTCCCAGAGGTCAGACTTTTTACCCAGGACACATTTTAGATAGATGAGACTTTAACTACAAACTTGTTTTTTGACTGAAGCAAGAAATGATCTCAAAAATTCTGTATGAGTGATTATGCAACATACATAACCTCTTTCCCTCCTGCCAAGTCATGCTATTTTAGTGGTTGATCATACCGATTTCATGCTTTCAAGTTGGACCCCTCGAGTGAAGTTACCATATTAGAAGTACTCATCATCAGATGAAAATGGTTAGCTCATTTTCTATGTAAACATAAGAGTTTTCCAAGCACACTCATGTGCAGGAATAAAGACTTTGATAGGAGAGTAAAGATGTTTGAGCTGAAAGATTAGCACTTGTACCAGGGGTGGGAAAGTATCCCAAAAACCCAGGGTATGTCCAAGTACAAAATGGTTTTGTAGATCTGAGAGAGTAAGGATTTTTGAGGGAGCTCTGGTGGCCTATTGGTAAGAAGCTACACTGTAATCCCAAAGGCACACAGTTTGAATCCATGAGCTACTACTCCACAAAAAAGGATGGGGAATCTCACACTATGTGATTTGTTGTTGTGGTGGTGGTGGTGGTGGTGGTGTGCCATAGAGTCGCCTGCGACTCATAGCAACCCTATGTATAACAGCCCTAAACCTCACTCTATCCTGTGCCAATCTTATTGTCTCTGACACACCTACTGTCATTATGCCAGTCACTGAATCAATCCATCCCATCAAAGGTCTTCCTCTCCTGCGTTGTCCCTCCACCCTCCAAAGCATGATGTCCTTCTCCAAAAACTGATCCCACCTTTCAACATGTCCAAAGTACTGTCTCTGAAACCCACTGGAGGGTCAGCTCTGAATCGGTTCTGACTGCACAGCACACAACAAGAACAAGGGCTATAGTCTAAGAGGTCTCACCAGTCTATCAGACCAGTTAAAAAAAAAAAGGAATTTTCAAAGAAAATGGGTTTTCAGCTAGTATTCAGAACTACTACCACTTTTACAGACTCCCATGTGATTTTCAAGCATGATTGGCAAACAGGAAAAGTAAAGGAAAAAAGAAAGTAATTCATGGACTTGAGTCCTTCATTTTAAAACTCAGAACCAGATAAGTAGGGGAGCTAAAGAGAAAGATCTAAGGAATACGCAAGTTGGGAAGTTCAATTCCCAGTAGGACGAAAGTACTGGTTCTGTGTCTCAGAAGGCTGTCCAGTCCCTCCACTAAGAAGATCTGGCCAAGCTTCAACCGTCTCAGGAGGTGGCCTATGACCAAGATCTGACGGTACCTGAGGGAATTTAGGCTGTTGTGAAGGCACTGATCAAATACAAGGCCCCACAAACTGGTGGAATACCCACTGAGATGTTTCAACAAGGAGATAAGGCCCTGATGTGATCACTTGTCTACACCAAGAAATTTGGAAGATGGCTACTTGGCCAATTGACTGGAAGAGACCCCTATGTGTGCCCACCACAAAGAAAGGTGATCAACAGAATGCAGAAATTATCATCTCACTTGCTTTGGACATGAGAACAGGAGGTGCCTGGAAAAGGGCCTTCTGACGGTAAAACAGAGGATGAGGGGGGAAACGGAAGGAAAGGAAGGCCCACAGTGAGCTAAATTCAACATGGCTGTACCAGTGAGCCCACAGTGAAAATTATGAGGCTGGTGCCAGACTTGGCAACCTTTGTCTGTCACCCACAGTGACACGAACAGGTGGAAGGGAATCCACAGCGCCTAACAGAAATGGAGGCGGTTACAAATCAGTCTGTTGCAAAATCAGTACTGTATATATTTGAATTAATTCCAAGAGATCAAACACACGAAGGTGAAAAACTCCACGCTGGAATTCACATTAAGCCATAAAGGAGCTCAGGTTCTTTTTGGAAGACACTGCTAAAGTTGTTGTATTTTTCCTACAAAGAATTTATAAAAATAACAATGTCTTGAGAGACCATTTTTTTCTTTATATAATTACAGCCATGATCTTACAAATATATGATTTAATAAGGTGATATGTAAACATACCAATTCCACCAAGATTTTTTCCTTACCAGATAAAATCACATTTCTGCTAGACATTCTCTTTTTAGTTAATTTAAATGAATAATCCAACTTATTATCAAAAGCAAATACATGATACTGTTCAGTAACTATTATGTCCTAACTTTCATTTTTTCCCCTAGTGTACACAGGGGAAGCTATTAAAAGGTATTAAAAGTATTAAAAGTTGTCATTAGGTTATTGGCTGTGAACACCTGGATTATCACTGTAAAGACATTAGCTTGCATTTGCATCTAACATAGGGGAATCTTCTAAGCAGTGCACGTGGGAACAGCACGCTTTGCTTCATGGTGGGGACAAGGTCCCGTCTTCCTTCACAGATTCGACTTCTCCCTCGCAGCCAGGTGAGACCCGTGGGGCATAAAGGTGTGGATGGCATTCTGTTTTAAAAGAACAATACCCACAGGTTAGTTAACTCACTCAGCGGCAGCAACTTGCTATTTGTTTTGTTAGCTGTAGTCTGTGCACAAATGGAATATCATGCAGAATGCATTCACTTCCAAGTGTGTTACACAGTCTACAGCCAGCAGGAAGCGTATGTGCTTTACGCACAGGTGTTTTTGATGATTTTATTCCCCAATTCCTGACAAGTTTCTGAACAGTTGCATAAGAAACCTAGAAGCTGCAAGAGGCCCCTAAACAGAAAAATGAACAGGGGAAACAGAGCCGAAGCCAGCCCAGCACACGCACCCTTCTGCCACAGCCAAGCAACCCTGGTCTCACCTTGGGCTTCTCAGCGTTGTACTTGTCCAGGAGCTTCTGGATACGGGACCCGTAGTCAGGATGAACATCACTGAAGTTCTTGACCTGAAATTCAATGGAAATAAATGTAAATAGCACCATAAACCTCTACTGTCCACTGTACCACTCCACAGAGTCTCTGTCTCACAGTCTTTATTCACTGGTGAGGATGGGTGTTTCAGCAGGAGTTTAGTACAGATAGCATCCGACAACGCAGGCGCTGGAGGAAGACCTGTGGCCCACGGTAAAGTCTACCTACCCTGGCGAAGTGATCCACATCTGTGAATGAGATGGTGTACCCGCAGAGAACACTGCGAGGGCAACGCAGCTATAGGGAGAGGTGTACGTAGTGCAGCCAAGTGCTGACCTCAGCGTACATTCTCAAAAAAGTAGGGATCTGTATTAAGAAACAAGGAAGCTGGTGGTCTAGTGGTAAAGGCCTGCACTGCCAACACAAAGGCACAAAGGTTCGAATCCATCAGTTGCTCTACTGGAGAAACACTGGCAATCTTTTCCCATGTGATTGACAGCCTCTGAAAACCCACTGAAGGGGTCAACACTGAGTCAGTTCTGACTTGATGGCACAATGATTAAAAAACAGATTCAGGGCAAGCTCTGGTGGCCTAGTGACAAGAAGCTGCAACTGCAATCTCAGAGATGCACGGTTCAAATCCACCAGATGCTCTGCTGCAGAAGGAGGAACAATCTCCTCCTGTACCAGTCAGATCTGATTTGACGGTACACACACACAAAAATAATGATGAAATAAAATAAATTTAAAAAAAAACACAAAAACAGATTCAGATGCTGAAATTAAAATGATAGCTACAGACCACATCTGCCAAGCAGGAATATCCACTCAGAGGTCAAGGCTGAGGGGACAGTAAGAGGTGACCACCACGTACCCAGACAGTGCCAGTGTGGGAGAGAAGCAGTATGCAGAGGGTCTGAGTCCAGGTCTGCTACTTACAAGCCCTCCTCATGCGTAAAATGAGATCAAGCCTGCTGACCTACCCCAGGGACGGATGGCAGCGGTCAGGCAGAGGTGGAATTCCGGCCAACCATGTAGAAGACCCAGATTAGAATCCCAGCAAAAATGTTTTTGTACATGACCACTAACTGCTTCTATGAGCAGAGCAGCAGTAACCCAGGGACAGACAGACAGTAGGCTTTCTAGATTTCTGTGGGAAGTCAAGAAATCAGAAAGAAGCCTGGGAAAGAACGTTTAAAAGAAATGTATGATTAGGTATTATTTACATGACAACAGTCCAGAATAAGAGCTGCATAGTAAAGTGGACTAGGGGTGGGCTGGGGGATTGTACAACAACGAATGTGGTGGTTTGTTGTGTTTTTTTTTCAAAGAGAAAAACTAACTAGGGGGAAGGGTGGGCAGGGAGGAAAACATGCAACAATGAATGAGTGGAAATCCAAGTTCTCTATAGACTTTCATTAAAATCTCAATTATAAAAAAAAAAGAGGGGGCGAAGAAGCTTATCCAGTGGGAGGTCAAGAAATCAGAAGCCCAGGAAAGAACTGTTTAAAAGGAATATATTATTAGGCATTATTTCCATGACAATAGGCCAGAATAAGAGGTGCGTAGCAAAGTGGACTAGGGTTGGAATGGGGAGGAAATTGTGCAACAATGAAAGAATTTTTCCAAAGAGACAAGAGAACTGGGGTGGTGGGTAGGGAGGAAAATGTGCAACAATGAATGAATGGAAATCTATGTTCTCTATAATCTTAAGTTAAAATCTCAATTAAAATTTTTAAAACTCAGAAGCCAAAAGGCTTCACGAAGCCCCAGAAATACCCCGGCACCTTAGCCTAGAGTTCACCTGACTTTTGGAAGCAGCTCTGTTCTTGTTTCCCAAACATGCAATTCCTCTGTTTGCTTCTGAAGGAGGGTCAGAAGTCACAGCAGCAAGCAGAGCCTTCCGGAAAGCTCTCGACTACCAAAATGTTAACTGCTATGACTCAGCTTTGTAAAGTTCAAGCAAAACTGTGGTGGGACTTACGTTCTGATACTTGTCTACCTGTATCAGCATTTTGCTGTGCTCAAACAAGAGAATTCACCCTGAAGTCAACTTCATCCTTATAGAGAAAGCGCTAAGGCTAAATGAATATGACAGAAAACCAAAACCCAACCCACTGCCTGGGGTCAATTCTGACTCACAACAATCCTATTGGACAGAGAACTGCCAATGGGCTTTTGAGGCTTTATGGGTTTAGATGGCCTCATCCTTCACAGCAGCTGGTGGGATGAAACTGCGAGCCTTTTAGCTGGTAACTCGCTATTCAGCCTCCAGCACCACCATAGCCCTGGGTCACACCATACAAAACAGGAAGGGAAATAATCAGACTGATCGAGGAGTGATTACTATATTTGTTTTAAGTCGTCCTAACAAGCTACTGTCACGTTAACCCAAATTCATGGCAACCATACGTGTTCCAGAGGAAAATTGCACTTCATAGAAAGAAGTGTGTTCTTTTGGAAGTAGGTCGCAATACCTTTCTTCCGAGGCACCTCTGCGTGGACTCAAACTGTCAACCTTTTGGTTAGTAGTGAAGCACTTTGCCTTCTGTGCAAACCAGGGACTCTCACGCAATACAGAAAGGACCCCTTTCCTTAAGGGGAAAGTGCACTCTCTTCTCTAGCCAGCAGATGGCGCCCGATAGCCCGCAGGCTTACCGCTTTCTTCTGGATGAACAGCTGGGCGTCTTTCAGGTGGCCCGCGATGTTCTCACACAGCTGTCTCCTCTGCTCTTCGTTCAGCACTTTGGTATAGAATGTCCGCACCTGCTCACGGAAGACAGAGACGGCAGGGAACCCAATCATCAATTTGCCACAGACAAAACTCTCCCAACACAGCCCATGTGAACACTTTCTGAAATGGAAAAAGAATTTTATTTACAACTAAATCAGTATAAAACAAAATTTTAAAATTTTAAAAATTTAAAATTACACTTGAAGCTGTCCATTATTTTGTGTTCCTTGCGATGAAGCAAAATAGAAAGAATCCAGTTGTTGATAACAGCTAACAACTGCTTTTAAAGCAACATCCTTATTGGTCACCACTTATAAATTCCTTACAAACAGAATTCACCGCTGCTGAGTGGATTCCAAGTCATGCCAACCTCGTGTCTGACAGATTAGAACTGGCTCCATCTGATTTTCCTGGCTATGGTGACGTAGGTGTGGCTGCTTACCAAGAACCCACCCGCTGCTTCGTGGGAGAAAAACAAAGCAACGTGCGTCAACAAAGACATACCCCTTTGGAAACTGTATGTGCTGCTTGGAGCTATTCTATGAGCCTGAATTTCTGCTTTATTTCTCAGAGTCATCTTTAAGGAAGCCGACTGCCAGGCTTTTCTCTATTATGACATTAGGTGGCAGTATAGCCTACACTAAAACTAGTTTGCTTCCTTATCACATCAGTTTTCAATCTATAGCTCAAAAAACTCATTGCTGTGAGCTCTGATGGCCTAGTGGCAAGAAGCTGCACTTCAATCCTGGAGGTACACGGTTCAAATCCACCAGCTACTCTACTGAAGAAAGAGGAACAACCTCCTCCTGTACCGTCAGATCCGATTTGATGGTACACACGCACAAACACACACATACCCCACACACAAAAAAAACCCACAAAACACCTCATTGCTATTAATTCGAACTCAACGAAAAGCTAACTTTCCAATGAGGTTTTCAGAGGCTGTAAATCACCTGGGAGTAGACCACCTATCTTCCTCCTATAGAGCAGATAGTGGATTTGAACCCTCTACTTTGGAATGGCAGCACAACCCCCTACTTCCCAGGTCAAGTGTCTTTATAACAGAAACACACATTAAAATTTTTTTTTATCTTGATTGTCGGACAGAGATACAAGTATATAATACATAACAAGTCTGAATAATAAGACTCGAACATAACATGGAACAACGCAGGGAGAGGGCAGGTTAGGAGTTTGACACTGTGAAAAGTCCCCTGGTGATCTGATTTGCATATGCTTATACCTAGCTAACCACCATCAGCTACAGAAAGCTCAGTCACGGGTACAGGAGGGCAGGGAGCCCACAAATGTGGCAGCGGTTCTATTCCAACTGGCCAGATAAGGTTTCTGAAGCACGTTATCACCTCCAAACTTCAACCACAGACCTACAGCCCGGAAATCCCATCACCACCACCACCACGCCTAATCTGCTTTCTCCACACTAAAGATAATTTTGTTTTTCATTTCTAATATATAAACAGGGAGCTCTGGTGGCCGACAGGTAAGGAGTTGTGGTGGCAACCCACATGTACACTGTTCAAATCCACCAGCTGTACCACGAGAGAAAGATGGGTAATCTCCAGTGCAAGTAACTGCCTCTGAAAACTCACTGGAGGGTCAACTATGGGTTGGTTCCAACTCAACGGTAAACAACAACAACAATACATAAACTGGCTTTGCCTTTGGGATTAACTGAGGCATACCATCCATCTTCTGGTGCCTGGCTTTTTGTTCGGTTTATGAGATTAGTCTTTGTTGTTGGTGCAGTTGCTCACTAATTTTTATTGATGTACATTGTGCAAATATACCACTGTTTACCATCTAATATTAAGGTAGCTCTGGCGGCCTAGTGGGAAGAAGCTGTGCTGCCATCCCAAAGGCACGCGGTTCAAGGCCACCAGCTCAAACTGAGGACACCAGCTCGAATAGAGAAGGATGAGCTTTCTCCTCCTGTGCAATTAACTGCCTCTGAAAACCCGCTGGAAGGTCAGCTGTGGGTCGGTTCTGACTCGACGGTACGTAACAACAATATTAAGGGGCTTACGTGATAGATACTTAGCTTATTTCTAGTTAGTGTTTTGGTTGGGTTATTTTTTTTCCTTTTTATAAACCACGAACAGCTTTTACAAACTATAAAGAGAAAAAGATTGAAGTTGTCAACAATTTCATTTTACTTAAATCCACTATCAACATCCACAGCATCCTCAGTTAAATCAGAAGATATGTCACAATGGCCAAATCTGCTGTCAAGGACATCTCTAAAGTGCTAAAGAGCAAGGATATCTGTTTAAAGACTAAGGTGTGGTGTGTCTGGTCAAAGTCATGGTGTTATCAATTGTTCCCTATGCATTTGAAAGCTGGCCAGTGAATAAGGAAGACAGAAGAAAACTCAATGACGTTGAATTCTGGTGCTGACGAGAGTACGGAATATCCCACAGACTGCCAAAAATCTGTCTTACAGGTAGTGCAACCAGGATGCTCCTTAGAGGTAAGGATGGTGAAACTTGGGCTCACAAACTTTGGGTATATTGTTAGGGTATGTTGTCCTTGAAAAAAGACATCATGCTTAGAAAAGTGGAGGACAGTCAGCTACAGTGAGCAGGACCCTCAACGAGAAAGATTGACACTGACTGAAACAATGAGCTTGAGCGTGTCAGAGACGATGAGGATCGCTCAGGACAGGGCAGGGCTCTAACCCGTGTCTCCCAGGGTCGCCACAAGGCATAGCGGACTAGACAGTGCCTAACAACAACATCAACAGTTAAACACATGTGTTCCGACACAAGGCTGATGTTGTGCACTGTCCAGTCAGACCTGACCAATAACTGACCCACCAGCAGGTTTTCAGAGGCAGTAAAAACACAGGCGGAGACTGCCTTTTGTTCTCCCATGGAAGAACTAGTGGATTCGAACCATCTACTTTTGGATTGCCGTGCAGCTTTTTACCATTAGGCCATCAGAGCTCCCCGGGCACACACATATTTTTTTGTTGGACTTGATAGATCAAAAAATATGTTCCAATTTAATGGATTCAGACTAACATTTTTGCAAAACAGCTGAACCAACTTATGTGAGCATGAGTAAATTGTTCTGCACTCTGACGTGGCACGTGAGTATTTCTAATTCTAGTCTTTCCGGGGATCTTCAGTGGAATCTCCTTCTGGTCTTTGCATTTCCTGATGGCTATGAGGTAGCACACTTTTCCAGGTTTTCTTTCAGGCACCTCGATAACTTCTTTGATGAGGTGCCTATTTCAGAGCAATGCCTTTATTTATCTGTTCTGCTGCCTTCTTACTGTTTGGGAGGAGTCCTCTAGACTATCATCAGTTCTTTGTTAGTGAAACAAACTGGACTCACTTCTCCCAGCCTGCAAGTTGCCTTTTTCATCTTTTTCTTTTATTAAATTTTATTAGTTTTAATGAACATTTACAGGGATTTTGGGTTTTCACTCCTTCATTGCTGC